GGGGAAGCGGTGACGCGCATGCGCGTCGGAGGGGGGATTCTCGACGGGATGGTTGGCGGCTTCTTCTTGCTCGTTTTACCTCGTTTTATTTTTCATTCGAAAGCTGTCCGCTTGACATTATTGGATCCGGGAACGCGTTTTCTCTGTTTCAACAAACCCGGAAGCACGTCAAGTGCAGACCACGCACCACAAGTGACGACAGCCTCCAAATAAGTCTGATAGCTAGTGGTTTATTGTGAAGGTATACCCAATACCAGTAGCGTACAGCCATGAACCTGTTTTTGAGAACAAAATGGCCTAAAGCTGACGTAACACGTGCCGAAGAGCAGCCGATAAGAAATACCTCACTTAAGTATGGATTCCCTATGGGCTCGGGCGAGTGCGTAGGTTGCAACACTTAAACGGGGGGGAAAATTTGGCGGCAGAGAGTTTGGCTGCGAATTCTTCACTAGGAACGGGTGCCCGGAATCGTTTTCCAAATTATTCTGTTTTTCTACCCCGGTAGCTGAAAGGTGAAGAACTGCGGCATTATTTCGCGCTAGAGGAACAGACAAGGGTTCAGCAGAGTTCTATCATTCATATCTTTGAGATTCCGAAGTACGAAGAGAATTTTATTTCTCGAGCCGCTCTCACACGATAGAATCTTTACGGCTTTCATCTGCATATTTTGCGAGAAAAACGACGATGGAATTCAATGATAGCTGTTAAGAATTCTTATTCTTTGCACCGGAAAAGATGGTATTGATTGATATTGATCAGTTCAGGGTTATTGTGTTGATTACGGTATAATAAAAGGATAAAGCATTTAGCCGTTGATCAATTCCCTTTTGGGATGCGGCACGCATTCTACTTCCATTTGTACATTCGCAGTGGCATTTGAATGCGATGTGGCCTATACAATGACTTGCGGGGGCCAGCCGATGTTCAAGTCAGTGTTTTATCCCTCATCGGAACATGTTCCGCTGCAACGATGACCGATCGCGGAAGGATGAAAGGTTCGATTGCCCCTACGGCGCATTGTCGAGGATCCGATAACTGGACCACGCGCGCAGTAAGCAGCGCCATTTGCCACTACACCACTTTCGCCGTGATTACGGTATATTTCATTCAAAAACTGATCTAGTAGGGAATCATATCCTTCTTGATTTACCTACACAATTGAACCTCGTTCATACCTAGTAATACGATACGATCATCATTACGTCACCTTAAATCAACAGCCCCCATAACTGAAGTGTTATTTTGAGTAAGTACTCAATGATACTTGAAGGTAATTAGGGGTACCGTCTGTCCAGCGGACCGTATTAGTGATTTATGGTGTTGTGTTGGGGAGCAAGTAGCATGGGCAGTTAAGCAACTTGTTAGGATCGTACAACTTGCTTGGACTTCATCCCACATTTTCGTGCATCATGAACGATTATCGATCGACCACCCACTATTTTTATCTTCTTAATGATTCTGTATAACTTTTTGACTGAATGACCTAGAACCTTTTGGCCTTTTTTTTCAATTTTATTCCTTTATCTTGGAATTGTCACAATTTTCTATGCCGTTGGCGTTTTGCCAACTATCCCTTGCCTTGACTCAAATTCTGTTCACCGTCGTTCTTTTCCTTCTCTCTAATCTGATTCTTATGAATTATGAAATGACGTCAACGTTTGTCCCATAACAATCAATACTTATCTTCATCACTGTATAATCGTATCTTCAGATGACGTCTGTGGAAAATCCAGCGGCAGCGAGGACGCCACCAGATGGAGGAGCCGTAGATAGCGGTGGAGGAGGAGGAGGCGGAGCCGCAGGTTTGCCACCAGGGGTCAGGCCACGCCCACAACTGCCACCGAAGCCACCCATCGACACGATTAGATATAGCATGAACAACATTAAAGGTTAGCTGTCCAGCACTTTTCACCAGTGATTGATCAACTATTGATTGTTTATTTCATATGATATCTTGTTGTATTGGTTACGGTAATTACTGGTTGCACTAATCACCCCGTGTATCATTTTATCTGGGTCAAATATGGTTGGCCCTAGCGCAGCCATTTCGCGCTCTCTCCCGTTCGACGATCCCGGTCAATTTTCACTATCAATTGGCCCTACACGATTTCAGATCGATCGTGTTCGAAGTTGTTTTTGCGTCTCAAAGCTCACTTGAAAGTTACTGGGGCTGGTTTTTAGCGGACATCGCGAGCGCCTCGGTCTTGATCTTCATCTGGACCAGATTTCAGCCATTTTACTGACCAGCGTGCTTGTAAAACTGCACATCTCTTGCGCTTCTTTTATTTAACCGTGATTCTTTAGCATTATTTCCTGGGCTAAGAATAATTGGATCAGTGGCAGGAGGCGCCGGCGATGTTGTCATCACCACCGGATCGAATTCCATCGGGCCATTTGCTTTCGATCGTTCTATGGACTACTTATTAGCACCAATTAATTTTTCAGGGTGTAGTGGGGCCGTCCTCAATTTTAAGTTGCCTTCAGTAGCTCACTAACTCATTGCATAGCCTACCGCACATTCAAACGGCTATGTCATTTCAAGGGAAAACTGAATTCATGGCGCATCCCGAATCAACCGTTTAAACCCGAGCATATGGTCTTTTCTACCCCGAGAACTGCAGGGATGTTGCATTCAAATGTGGAACACGTTTGACGCTCTGCCTCTCACTGCCATCAATTGTTCTTCCTTTGCCAGCGGCGAGAGACAAGCGAGCTCGACCAGCTCGTGCTCCTCCCCTTCTGTGTGACAATGTCGTCCATTGTTTTGCATTGTTGTCGCTAATGCAGCACGTATGTGTGTGTCGCCGGCGACCGCTACTCGTTTTACACACTCCTCGTGGCGTTTGAGCCTTTGCACAGCACAGCCACTTTGACAATGAGTTGCAGCTCCCCGCAATGGCCAGCAGCTGCTCAGAGTGGTCCCGTGGCGAAAAATATGCAAAGGACGAGGTGGGGGGGACCGCTTTGTTCGTTAACCTCTCGTCAATTAGTGCCGTCATCCTCCGGCCGCTGTAACCACACTCACAAACTCACACACCTCCTGTTCATTGCACCAGGTGCTGCAGCTCACCATGGCTCACCACGAATCACAATTTTTCTGCGGCGGCGAGTAGATAATCGGGTGCTTAGCGTTAGTTCCCGTTCGTGTAAACTCACACACTACGACTGGTTCTCCTCGGCCGTGAATGCCTTTCTTTTAGCGGCGCTGGTCGGCAAAAGAAAAACCTCCATGAAGAACGCGGGACAGCTGGAACGGTTAATTAGTACTCTAACGACATTTAGAACGGCCTATTTCAATCTGTCATTCGTTTTATCACTGGTTGTTTTGTCGTCACGGTTCTCGTCGTCTCTCCTAGAAAAAAAAACCCCCTTCGGACAGTTTTTATCACCGTTGAGCGCTTTCTTCGGACCCTTTTGTTACACCGATGTTTTGTGCTCAAACCCGGCCCTTTCGTGATTCAAACCTGGCCAAAAGGCGGCCTCCAGCCTAGGCATTTTCTGTGGTCCTCCAGTAGAATATTTTAGAGAGCCTTCATTGAACTGTCCCTCTTATCACAAAGGACGCGGCCGTGCCCTTTAAACCCCGTTTTAAAATTACAGTGGTGATTTTCATGAGTATCTTTTCAATTGTCACATTTTTATCACCGTGAAGCGCTTTCTTCGGACCTTTTGTTGCAGCAATGTTTTGTGCTCCAAACCCGGCCCTTTCTTGATTCAAAAAGAGGCTCCAACCCGGCCCTTTCGTGATTCAAACCTGGCCAAAGGGTTTTCTGAGCCTAGGTCTGAGCTCCTTTCATGGTTCTGCAATTATACGTTAAAAGTGTCTTGTTTGAATCTCGCGACTGTCCCTCTTATCGCAAGGGACGCGCCGCGCCCTTAAGCCCGTTTTGAATCCCAGCGCTGATTGATTCGATGATCGTCTTCTGAATTGTTACTGGCTTTTTCCCCATGGAGCTCTTTTTCGTACCTTTTGTTCACGCGCATGTCTTTTGCTAAACCCGACCCTTTCCGTGATTCAAGCCAGGCCGAAAGGCGGCCACAGCCTAGATTTGAGCATGTTCCATGGCTCTTCAATAATATGTTAAAATGTCTTGCTTGAAATACGCGACTGTCCTTCCTATCGTAAGGGATACGCCATGCCCTTAAGCCTATTTTAAGTTTCCCAGGTGAATGATGATGCAATTTTCACCGCTATGGCAATATACGGGGGCATCCTTCAGAACTAAGCCTAGTTAAGCCTAGGAGGTGGCTGGAGCTCCAGGGAAAACGAAAGGGTCACGCACTTCAGGGTCTCTTCTCCCCCGCCTGAGGCTTAGCCCCGTTTTTACCAAAAAAAGAATGTTTCACGTGGTTTCGAAGGCATTGCCACCACATTGCCCCCGTATATTGCGATAGCGTCCAATTTTCTTATGAATCGTCGTTTATGAGTGGGCGAAAACTCAATTCTGTCTGCCATTCATACTTCTTGAATCTTTTCCCATTTAGGATCTTTTTGCCTACGACAGGAGAGGCCGCAGGCCCGCCATTCCCTAAGTACATTGAGCGTGATCACATATTCATAGGGTTATGGGGCGCTGGTGTCATAACAGAGGCCATCCCTGCTTCCCTGCAGAAGCTCCGGACTTGAGAGTAACTTTCGCAGCTTGGCCCTGGGAGTCTTTTGACAGTTCATTTTTGGACGATCTGTACCCCTCTCCCTCCCTCCGTCTCCTGCTTGAGCCACCCAGAATTGCACGGTCAGAATCCGTACACTCACGGACCAAAATGACGGCACTTGTTTATCATCTGATAGACGTTATCAGTGCTTTTCCGCCAATGAATTCAACGCCATCTTTCGTTTTCCCGGACAGTCTCATTTGTCATTCTACGTTCGTTTTTCTGTGCCTTTATATTCCCCGTTTTGTTTTGCTGCTCTTCCCAACGTCGTCATCTCTAAGTACTGCCTTACATCTACAGAACGAAACGTCTTCCCATCAACAGTCCTGCCTATGAACTGAAAAATGCTCGCATATCGTCAATACAAACTACAACGAGGTAAGAGACATCGATCCAATTATCGATTGCTCGAATTCCATCTCACAAACGACGACGACGATGGAGAGCGACGGCAAATCGTCGTGGGAACGCCATCGTCGCTCGTTCGCGAGATTCCGGTTTCCACTCATGATAGTGATGGGCGCTTCCCGGCGGGGAGCCAACGAAGCGATGTTCCTTAGCGCAAGGGAAATCCCTTGGTCGAAAAATGACAATTCTCAATTTCATGGTATCCTCCCATGAAAATCGAGTGTTCCATTTTTATATCAATAATCGGCTCTAAATTGCACTGTCATCGAAAATCCTCGAAAAATGCCGAATTATTGCAAGGGCTCTATGCAGGGATAGTTTTTCTGTAAAATTGCGTAGATTATGGTAATACCGTACCAATAATTCTTTCACAACGGTTATATCCAACGTTTATTGAATTTTCACAGAGTGAATAGAATGAACACAGCAAAACTGAAATTTTCGTAATTGGAAACGTGTTGAATGTTGAAACATATGCGATCGAATATTGATTGGTTGATGTGATAATCTTTTGCCTAACAGGTAGTTTTGCTCCGCCTCCTCAAGACTGCTTTGAACCCCACACTTTTTGTTGCATTTTCGTAAATACGATTATTTTTGAGGCTTTCCAAATTTTCAAGGAGTCAAATAGGAAACTGAGGCTATCCTTAGCTATTATATTATCAATTATTTCTCGAAAATTTCTCACTATCAGAATCATCATGAAAGATTTCTTTTAAATTTTGGGGCGCTAATCACACAGATAGGGGGCATATGGTGGCAGTTCATGAATGCGTGAATCTTCTCTTTTTTTAAACGCCTGTTTTTTTGAATGGCCCTGTGCTTCGGCGGGAGGAGATAAGCTCGAACACTTGAACAGGCATGAACAGGTCTGGTTCCATTGAAATCCTGCCCCTCCTAAGCTCAATTTTAAAGGATCTCCCCGTCTCCTATAGTGCCGAGATTTGTTTCTACTTGGATTAGGAAGTTTGGCATCCTTCCAAAAACTATGATCAATCAATAATGGAACTTTTTCGAATTTACGTAACCTGCACTTTTCAGGTCGCTGATTGGAAAAACCCCTAAAGTTACCCAAATATTTGAAAAACTGTCATACGTGTCCTAAAAGTCGAAACTAATCAATCAGCATTGACCCCGACGTCCTAAAACTTTCCTTACAGCTAAGCCTTTCATGGCATTATCGATTAACTGCGATGTAATCCAAAATAAATCGATTTATGTGAATATTTGTGGTAAATACCAGAACAAGGGGCGGTTCTACGGTTGAAAGCATTATTACAGAATTTTCATCCCACTGTAGGGTTTTCATTATTTCTTACCAAATCGATAAATTTGTCAAAATGAATGCTTTAGAATCGGCTGATTGGCAGCTAGATGCACTACTGGAGGAGCTGTCGGCGCTTGAAACTCAACTGAACTCGTCGAGCGGAGGCGATCAGCTCCTCCTCGGCATTCCCTCACTACCGTCCGGCTCGTCCAGTGGAACTGCTCATCCGGAAAAGAAAACCTGTGCCGTTCCTGCGCAACAACGCAAAGTCGAAAGTAAAGAAGATGTTGGAGTTACGGTCAGTGAAAACCCTCTTTACCCTCCTTTTTCCCTCCATTTTTTCCTTTGAGTTGAGGTAACGTTGGGTTAGACTCGTCAGCCTGGTGTCATGGGGACCACCGAGGTCGGTCTGGGCGATTTCTAATCTTGTAATGAACTAACATCACTAGGCGCGCAGTCAACAAGCCAATTTCCTCATTAGCATAGTGATCGATTCGCGTCTCAAACCGGGTCCATCTAAGCTCGATAAGATCGGCGAACAGGTTTGAGGTCGTGGGAACGACGAGGGTTGAAAGTGAGTGCCGCGATCAATTCACACCTGACATGCGACCGCTACCAGGTAGGGCAGAAGATGGACAATGCGTCATTAGAGCGGTATTCTGTGAGAAAGCAGACTTTTGTGGGGCCAGGGTTACGGTCTTAGGGTCTACGTTGTTCCTTATTCCAGCAGGTTGCTCATCAACTTTGCGCTGAATATTTTCTGAGCTCCTTTTCGCCGTAAAACTCTCTGGTAGGGGTCATATTTCGGTATTAGATCAACCAGCGCTTACATCTTCGAGCACAGTAACCACAAAGAATGAAAGGATAAGGCTTTCGGCGTTAGATCCTTCTCTTTATGGAGTGCGCCATGCGTTTCCACCTCAGCTACCATATGCTTTTTCTCCTCCTTATTTTCTCTTTCACACCCGCGAGATCACACTCGGCTCACTCTCGGTTGCCATTAGGAGGGCGTATAATGTGTGAAATACAACTGTGACCGCCATTAGGTCACGCTATACGCTACTTACAGATTTCACAGTACTGTGTAGCGATTTTACGCTATTTTAGCATCTTAAAAATGCGGTGCTGTTTGCAACTGTCAAGTCTCCTTTGTCGTTGAAAGATGAGGCGAAAAGAGCGGTCTTGTAGTAGTGACTTTAAAAATATAATGGGCCATTATACGCAGGAGATTTTTTTGCCCTCAAGAAATTTGACTGGTACGTTTCAGCTAGCCAATGCGGGTACAAATAGAAATTTTTCTTCTACGTTTAAATTTTCGAGTTATTTAGTGCCGTCTGGCCAGAATGACCACCTACTATAATACCGCTACCCACTTATCTGCATCCATAAAAGCTGTTTGTTAAATGATAATGTTAAGTAGTTAAAGCTGAAAATCCATACTGTTTAGCCTGCCTCCACACCACACACCTACTCTTCAAGTCTGAAGAAGGTAATGGAAGTGCAAATGGTGTCGCTTACCACGCACGCGGTCCGAGATCTAACCCAGGACCATGTGCCGTTTTCGCCAAGCAAGCTTTTCGTCTCTCCGGGGTCAGTTTCTCTCCGTACCCCCTGACTTTTACTTTGCGATGTAAAACCAATGACTTCACATTGAAACCTGGCCACTACCAAAATATTTTAGTGTAGGCCGAATCGCTTCAACATAGCTTCTACGTTAATGTCACACACATTCGACACGCATCCGCCCAATCGCCACAAACACACCTACTGATCAATGCCGAAGTCACCCTCCCCCAGACACTCTTGACATTCGCTCACATCTCTCACTCACGCAACTTAAATTGGCGCCAAATCGAATGCGACAAAGTTGCATCTCACTAAGAATACCAGGTCACTCCCAAGTACGCAAAATGGGGAATAAGCCCGTTGTTCCACCAATCTTAATGTCGCATTATCCCCTCCGAATGCCACATAACTGCAGAAGTCCAAATGTGAGAGCCCTTTGAAATTGACCCATTAATTCGGCATTATATGGCGAGCGTACGCATAGCACACCGTTTTTAGTTGCAATGCCGAATGCTATGGCTCACTTAAAAAGATTCTTCACGCCGTCCACTTAGTCATTCTCTTATTGTTAGTGAAATTATAGATATTTGATGGTTGAGCCATGTTGCAGCATGGTACCTAAGAAAAATGTAGGTAGTTTGGAGAAAGTTATCAGTTTTTTCCTCCTCCTTTAGCCACGGCATCAATTTATGTTAGCTCTTCCTACGTTTCTCAACCAAACGAGTTCTTGAGGTCCAGCCCTCCTTATTCTTTTCATCCCGCTTCCGATGATTAAAAAACTCCTCACTGAGTGACGGGGCTGCGCTGGCACGTTGTAAAATCTCCGTGAGGGTTCGTTTTACGCACATTCACGCGACATATGTTCTACTACTTACTCAGGAATCCGATACTGACAGGCCAGTATTACCTGCGTATTGATCGATTAGAAAGGCCTGCCATTGCAGACAGATATGCATGCAAAAATCGGCCATAAAACAGTGAAATGGCGGCGATAATGTGTGACGTTTGTTGGACAACGTTGGCGTAAAGTGCACTACGGGAGTGCCACACGTAGAGCCATAGCTGGGGTTTGGTGGGAGACTGTTGTGCGGACAGGGTGGGGTGACGGAGTGAAATTGTGCAGGATTATCTCACATCAGAGTTCCTTGACCCAGGGTCACCCCCGAGACTGAAACCTGCTTTCCCCGTCTCAACTGAACGTTCTACTACTAGACCCGCCCTGCAACCCTTAAGACTTGTAGCTCTATAGCTTTCTGGCCTTCGAGCTGGACCAGAACCCTATTTATTGTTGGAATACGGTCGGGTGACGTCCATCCAAGCAGAAAATTGACTATAGTTCTGGGCTGTCAGCTACCTTTTGACCTAGCTCTACCACGCTCTAATAACCTGAAGAACCGCTCATTTCCTTCACAAGCGTTGAATTTTACTAGGAGAACCCTCCTAGCTTTCCCTATCATCTCACTCTGCTCAAACAATACCAAATTTACGAGATCTGTTTAAAGGACGAATTCACGCTGGGAAGGCAACCCATTTCAAATTAACTCAGGGATGGTGATTGGTACACGAAAGAAGGAAGAACCATGAGAAACGGCCCAGAACCCGAGAAATGGGACCCCTTCCTTCCCCGCTGATTTGCGCATTGATGCGACTCTTATCGCTGTGCCCTCCTCAACATCACGCTCTCTCTGCTATCTAATCAATCCCACGTATAGATCTGCGGCGAGTGATCAGCTGGTCGGTGGGCGGAGATCGCCAGACCCGCCAACTTTGAGGCATAATAGGTCGCCGAGGTCAAATTTTTCGATGCGAATTGCGCATCAGTTCGCACCCTCAGGAGGTCCGTGGGTTACTCAACTAGGTGAATTACTTCTTCCTCGACCTCCATTCTAATCGTAAAATCCTCCTTTAAGTGCTTGGCAATAAAGTGACGAGTGAGAAGGTAAAGCTCATCTTTATTATTGACGATTTTTGTGGATATTCGTCATGGATTTTTCTCGACTCTTTGGTCTTCTTTCAGGTTTAAAACTGGCCCATTTTCCTGGCCGGATAGGAAATGACTGTGTCCACGAGTCGCAGAGTGCTGCGGATCGCAATCGTGTCTAACGAGGTCGTTCGTTTTTGGATTACCGCCGCATGAGCGCATCGGAACGGATGGACGGGTGCGGGAGTAAGACGAGCACATTCATCAAGATCACCGCCACTGCAGCCACCGCGCAAGCTCGCGTGACCGGTACTGGGTTATATTGACGTAACGAGAAGGCACAGGGCAATTTTGCAAGGTGTAAATATGGCACATTCGTCTATGAGAACAACTCGGAATAGCCTTTATGGTTAACTCTAGACCCTTAGTTTTGGTTACAAGGATTCTGTCACCAGAGAGTGCGACGTAGTGGAAAGCACCACTTGTGTTTATTGGGCTGAGCCTTGTTGAAAAGTACAGAAGAGAATGGCTGGATAGTGTGCCTTGTGAGACTCATAGAAGCATCCAACAACGCTGAACGCCAGGCTCGCGTGACAGATGCTTGAACCCTTAGTTTTTCCTGGTCAGGCGCAGAAAACTGCGGTCACGTCATGAAATCAGCAACATTTTGCTCTTCGATCTCGTCGTAGTGGATTTGCGTTGATGTTTCCGACAATTGGCACTTGATGTGAATTCCCCACGGAAGACGTGACGCCTGCTTGGCAGATCGCCAACGTCGCGCTGCAATTCAATCGCCACATATCTTCATCAAGCCGAATTCGAAACGCAGATATGTGACGTGGCGTGGAGAGCGAGTTTCCAACGGCGCCATTCTACAGCCATCCCGACGAGAAGAAAACCCCTTAAATTAAGCCCCGTCAGGATGGCGTAAAAGAAACGATATGACTCGATACCCTCTGTCAATTGCTGTAACTGTTACAGTAACTGCATGGTATTTTCGATTTCAAAGAGAAACTGAGTTTTCTTCACTGGTACTTCAGAGCAAGTGGCTAGACCTTTCATCCTTGACTTTTTGATATCCACCGACTTGTTCCTGCTGCTCTCAATGCGATTAAATGAGACATAGGACCGGATTCCGATTGTTGTCGTGGTTTTTTCTACCAATGAGAATTCTAACAACGAACAACTTGACCGTGCAATGAACAGGCTGCTTCGTAGTCCATTAGACCTAAAGGCAGGGGAAGGGACCGAAGGGGAAAGGCGGAAATGAGAGACATTCAGTTCTCCTCCTAGGTCAGGTCGCTACGCGATCATTGAAGTCTAGGGTTAAGCTTGGGTTAGGCTTAGGTTAGCTTGAGCTTGTGCTTACACATTGGCATATGGTCAAGGGCTGGGCCTAAGCGTAGTCCTAGGCTTGCTTCAAGCGAATGAGTGGTGTCTTACTTTCAGGTGGCCTGACCTGGGAGGAGATCTGAAACGCACCCCGGGTAGATGGCTGAACTGAGCGTAACACGGTTCCTCAGCAATGCCAACCAAGAAGGCTCCTAGTTGGAGACGATAGGGATATAAGGCGTCCAAGGACCCCTAAGTAGGACTTCCTGAAAGCTGTAACTTGGCTGTACCGTACCCTTTATGTGTTGACCCTGGTCTGCCTACTTTTTTCTGTGACCCTGCCCCTTTTCCCTGTTCCACTGCAACCTGAGAGTAGCCCATGGGTGTCATATATCATTCTAAAGTGTAACCCCAAATTAGGACAATATTTACCGGCGACGTAATCGTCAACTACTGTGAGGCTACTGGAGTAAGTGGCGTGACGACGACGAGATCGCCGAGCAAGATAGCCGACACGACCTTCAGTGACTGGCCCGCATGGTATTAAGCAGTAAAGGCGCTCGGCGCCAAGTCCATGAGGCATTGTCTTTGAGTGTTATGAGGGAGAATTACAGGTGTTTATAGTCGCGTTGAGGAGTGGTGAAGGCGATGAGAAGACGTTTACAGCCTCATGTGAAAGAGGCTATCTGAAATGCACGTGAGAAATGTCGAAAGGGTTACCTAAAAGGGATAAGTAAGGGAAGCCAGTCTAAAATTTCATCGGTCGATCGATAGAGTTGTCCAGTTTTTCTATGCGTTTTTCTTCTCGTGCTTCCGAAATGATGGTGTTTTTTCATCGCCGACCATACCGACGACAAACCTCGTCGTGTTCGAACGGTGTTGGCGGTGAGGCCGTTTGTCATCGTGATTTGTAGTCGTTTGAAAGGTCGCCGGACTATTTCTGTCCGTCTAAGGTCAAAACTGGCAGTAAATGGCAGTTATACAATCTCTAAATTGACTCCGGATTAACTGCCACGGGATTTCCAGCGATTTGGAGCGGATAGCGCTTACCGAGCAAACTGCCGGGCAAACTTAAGGGCCGGTTCAAGGTTTTGCACTTACCAGTTTTCAGTATAAGAGATAGGAGGGGGAGGGGGGGGGAGCGGGTAGAGAACAATGGAGGCCGAGGAGTTATTCGAGTATTGGGTATCGGTGTTTATTACAGGTAATAGCTGGAGTCGTGTGGCCTGCATGGAAGGATAGCTGTAGATATGCCTGACGGGACGAACAATCCCCATATTATGTTATACGCTACCGTATCGGCCAGGTTACGGTAGTTAAGTTGATGCCGTCTTCGCTAAGTACCGGGTTGTGTTTATTTATATTGCGGTTATGAAGGGGTCAAGCACAAACGCTTGGCAGTTTGCCAAGAATGGAAGGGTCATAAGATGTATGCAGAAGTATGACCGCATTAATATGTTATACATTATCCTCGTATGGTACTCTTAAAACGACTACCGTAAGCGTCTTTAATCGCTGCGGGGAAATGTGGTGACGTCGGCTAGAATAAGCTGGATCAGGTAATGGGCTCTGGCCGAGCTTGTCGAAGTCTCAACTTTTATAAGCGCTATTTACAGTCGTAGACTTCGACGAGGCCAAGTTTAAGCCTATAGCCTACCGCAGCTTTACCTAGGTGACCTTACCGAGCCAAGAAAAGTTTGGGAAGGAAAACTGCCTGCCCAAAATATTTCTAAATATTTAAAATAGCAACTTCTAGCCTGATGGTTACCGTCGCCGATACCCTCAAAGTCGTTGAAGTCAACCTTTGAAAATTCAGCGAACTCCCTTTCATCCCCTTTTCACCAATCAATTATCGATCCCAATTAATTTTTCCCTCATCATTAATCACTTCATTTTCAGCTGCCGACCGTCTGCGCTCCGTCGTCGTGCTCGTCGCCGGATGGCGACAGCGCTTTTGGTGATGCCTCGTCCACTGAATCGGCCAGATGCCGAAATTCGGCGTTCTCCAGTAATGACAGTTGTCGCGACTCTCTTCATACGCCAAGTCCTACACAGGTACGCCTTCTGATTCTCCTGGTTTTGCGACGGTACCGATCAATAACAGGGTGTACAGCTCTATCTATGGCTTTCCGTTGGATCATCATGTCATAATTGTCGATCTAATCTACCAACAAATCAATCTCAATCGATAATTCGACAGTGACATCCAAGAGACATCGCCGCGCACCCAATAAGGCCCGTAAATCACACACACGTAGGTCCAAACTTGATCAGATGGTCTGGACACACAGGATCGCCTGCCTGACCAGATTACGAGGAATTGGAGACAATAGGGGACGTATGATTAGAGGAAATGGATCATCAACATCATTTCATACAGTAATCACGTTCAGGAATCAGGTCCATAAGGGGTTGTTTACGGTATGGCTTTTTGTGGCGCTGGAAGAGCATACGCAAACGCATGATACGTGGTGTTGCGTCGTCGACGATGACGCAATACGCATACACGCATCTGTTTGCGTTTAGAATCAATTCACATATGTCGTGTGATTAGCGGGGAACAGATTTGATGATGAATGAATTCTATTTTTGTTTCCGGGTGTGGCGGGCTCTCCACAGTGTCGTTATAGAGTGGGTGGAGTTTCCCATTACTTTGTGGGTCCAGAGTTGAGGATGGGAATGAAAACATAGGTGCAAACGACATTCTTTTCAACTGTTGAAGTAATAATGCATTTTTAACCAATTACTGATAAGAGCTGGGCCGTGGCTTGCTAATGTTTCTTATAAGAAGGAATTATTACAGTATATCGATGAGTACCTTGTCAAGGTGAGTGATAGTTGGACCTACTGCGCTCCCGCCCTCCCCTGAGGAGTATCAGTTTTTGTTTGAACTGAACTAAAACTTGGCCCTGAATTTCCTGTGGTTCTTCAGTTGTGGGTTAATCTTGGAAAGATGGACAGGATTTAGAAAGTGCGGAACATGGCCTTGCTAGCTTTTCGCCGATTTCCGCGTTGATTTGTGATCCACCCATTCTCCGATTTTCCGAATTGGCTTCCTGGAGCCATTCTGATCCGACAGACAGCACTACACCTACCTTATTATAATCCGAGAGACCGTTTTTGCAGAATATGTTCCGACTAATTAAAGCGACGCTGATGTCTTCAATATGTAATGATACTATTAGCTGTTATTGTCGTAAGCAGAAACTTACGAATTAGGGCCCCAAAATCGAAATTTTGAGTGATCTTAGAGTGTGCCTCGATCTTACGTTTTTCCTAAGGAGTTTTGTTTCGAACTTTTTCTAAATCTGTGATTTCCCAGTGGATTTGATCGTCGGCCAGATAGGCGACTTTCTGCGAACGTAACACGACTGATGCTCGTGTGTTAAGTCGACATCAAGATCACTCGGTGTAGTCGTGTTTTCGCTGTGGTCATCGGTGGTGGGGTCATCTGAGAGTTTAAAGAGACACGATGCGGTTATTAGAGATGATGGACTAGTTGGGACCGAGAAGGCAACCTTACGGACTATTCGTACCAGGCATGAGTGACAGTCTGGGAATTTGGGAATGTTAGAGTAACCAAGAGTTTCCGGGAATTTCCGCTGCTCAAACTTAGAAGAATATTCTGGTGATCCCCCTCTGGAGGCTTTTACCACCTTTAAGCAGAGCACGTTAAAGGTGTAGTACTTCGTACGGGCAATCTACGGCTACCCCTGTGTGGCTGTGGCTTAGGGAACTACAAATGGGATCAGTTCTGTCCCGTGAGTGGTAATGATCACACACATCTGCTTCAGCTAATTCCCTGTTAAAGCACAGATCTGCTCCAGCTCTTATTCCCTGTTCTGGTAGCACGTTGTTCATCTTCATGTTTTGTTCCATAATTGTGTCAGAGCTTCGAAAGTGAACAATTTCAATGGGATGCGCCATGCACTCGAATTCAGTCCGGAATGGTGAATCCATTTGAATGCGCTCCTTCCTCGAACGGTGATCATTTGGAGGCGCAACTAAGATTCATGGAAGGATTTTCGTCTTCCAAACTCATCTAATTACCGTCAACCGTAACTCTTGAGTACCGGAGGACTTCAGCAGCTACACACATATATCGTGGCTCGATCTAGACTCTAGACAAGTGACTGCCACCCACTTTCTCCGGCTTCGCTCCAATTAGAAGTACGCCGAATAGTCAGAGTCTTGGCCAAATCTGAACTGTGTGGGTGACCGGAGTGCAACATCTCTCTCTCTAAAAATCTCTACAGAACGCCCACCCTTCGAATGATATGTGGTCGCTAACAATAAGTTCAGATATTTGGCCATAGACCAAGACGATCATTCTTATTCAGTCCAAGAGGAAGATATTACGCCATCCGGTAAATGACGGTCAGATGTTGTCTCTGGCGTGCTGGTCGGGCCGACCGACCAGGTGCCTCAGCGGGACACCTTTAGAAGTCGACCGATGGGGCTGACTCAGGCAGATGAGTCGTGTTCGACGAGCGATTGCTGGTCGCTTCACGTCGTTCACATTAATTGCTGGGTGATTAATGGCATCATTCAAATCGAACCCGAACGATGTGAAAATGGCAGTTTTCGAGCGGTTTCACTTGAAAATGAATGAGCTGGAACAGATCATAGATCGCCTAGTAATGGATGCATGATGATTATAAGGTGAAAGAAGAAAGTGAGAGTGGCAGGCATTTGCCACCAATCTCTGTGGAAGCGCCTTACTACATCCAGTCTTGCTGAGATGTCGCGTTTGCAATTTTCAAAATTTCACGACCCT